CACACACTCTCTCTCACACACACTCACTCACTCACTCACTCACTCACTCACTCACACTAACACACAGCCACACACTCTCACACTCACTCACACACACACACACACTCACTCACTCACACACACATACAGGCCCTGCGCTTCTCTTTCCTAAAGACAGAGGGAACTGTTTGTAAGTGCATTATAGTGTATTTCATTAACTCTCAAGCTGTTTCTCTGTGAAGTAACCGTGTGGTGGGTTTTTGAGCTATAACCAGCCCTGTCGTCACGTGGAGCACTACTGACTCTCCTCGTGTGTTTGATCAGATGCTGTTTCTGTGGTGTGTGTGTGTGTGTGAGATCTGCTGAACACCAGACAGCAGATGAACATCTCACCATTTCAGCTCCACTGTACTGCAGCACTACGGAGATTTCTATTGTAGTTTAATCATAGAACGGTTCATGAATAAATAAGTACAGTCTTTTGTTGTGCGGTTTAATTTCTCACTTGAGTTCTGTTGGATTGTATTTCATGCTTGGTTGTTCAGTCAGTTGGAAAATCACAAAATGTTTAACAATTAGATTTTTGTTCGCTAGTAAGAGAGTAACTGCACTTATGCGAGCACTACATGTACTGATCAGTTCTCAGAAGTAAATCAAATGTATTTCATGAAGGCTCCTGAATTGGAGATGCTAGATGACCTTCATAACTAAACGGTCATTTTACAGCCTACAGTCCTTAATGCTTCACTGGATATCATCCTGATGACTTGTGAAGGTATTATAGTGCTGATTATTTCCCTCAGCTTATATGTGATCATTCTCTTATTTACTCGCTCTCATGTCACTTAAACTCTTAAAACATTCAACCTCAAACAGTTTATAAACACATTGCAAAAGTGCCCAGGTCTTCTGAATGATCACTATATGAACGGAGTTAACTTGAGCTTTTATTCGCATATAAACACATTGATCAACACACAGAGCTTATGACAGCTTCAGTTTCATGAAACGAAGCGAAACTGAAGCTCAAACGTGCTGCTTGACGCAGGAGATGAACCCTCACTGGTTACGTTCAGCTCAAAGAGTCAAAATACCCTGGCTGGAAAATATGCTAACACGGAAAATCACATCCCTAAAAATGCACAAAATTCTACTCTTCAGCACAAAAATCTGGGTTTACTTTGGCACTGATTTAACTCCCAGTTTCCTCTCCTAGTGTGCTATTTCTATTTATCAAAACAAGATGAATTTGCTGTAGGTCAGACCTACACAGTAAAGAGAAAAGTGGAGCTGAAAACTAGCCCTAAAGAGTGCATTTACTGCACATGAATGAATAACTCCTGAACTCACTGCTGGTTACTCAGAGGGACAGTTCACCCCAAAATGAAAATGGCCCCGATTTACTCACCCTCAAGCCATATGAGACTTTCTTCTTTCAGACAAATCCAATCAGTTATATTAAAAATGTCCTGGCTCTTCCAAGCTTTATGATGGCAGTGGATGGGGTCAAGAATTTGAAGCACAAACAAGTGAATCCATCCTTCAGTCCACTGGAAAGCACTCTCTCATGAACGCAGAAGCTAGAGATCATGGTGTAAAGGTTTAAATATGGATATTTTTCTTACACAAATGGATCAATTCACTTCAGAAGGCCTTTATTAATCCCCGGAGTCATGTGGAGCACTTTTTATTTACCCCTATTCATTGCCATTATAAGAGCCAGGACTTTTTTGAATATAACTCCAATTGTATTCATCTCTAAAAGAAGAAAGTCAGAGTAAATCAATTAAATGATACTTTGAAATTTTGGATGAACTATCTTTTTAAAGTTACCCGTTTTCCTGAAACAGTTGTCAGAACTAAAGGAGAAATAAAGCAGCTTTGCTTTCACTTGATCCAGAAGCATTTGGCCGCATTCACAGTTTCTCATCAATAATGACACACTGAATAAGTAGTGAAACTCAAGTTGCCAGATGTTTATTTTATGTTCAGGAGATTGAAAATAGCAAGCAACATGGCTGCGTTTGTGTGGGACCTCGTGCCAGTGAAGCGACCTTTCAACCAAATACACACAAAGAAAGCCTTCGAAAGATTCACTTTCTGTCCCGTTAAGCTCCTGTAAACATGAGGAAACTCTGGGGTAAACAAGTTCTGTAATAAAATAGTTTTTCTTCTTTTGCAAAGCATGAATTTTATTGTCAACTAGTGCTGTCCACTTTATTAAAATACAAACAGGACAAGAATAAAACCACTGCATATACAAGTTCTGATTTACACAAGAGTTCAGGGAACACGGTCTCAAACATGATGAACGGTAGTTTGTGTAGAACAGCTCAAAACATCTGCCCACAGTCTGAGATGGTGATGGTTTCCGTGGGTTTCCCGTCTTTAGCGCCCAGCTCTCCGATTCTCCTCACCACATCCATGCCGTCTTTGACGAATCCGAAGGCCACGTGCTTGAAGTCCAAGTGCTCTGCTTTCTTGAGGGTGATGAAGAACTGTGAGTTGTTGGCGTCTCTGCCGCGGTTGGCCATGGACAGCAGCCCCGGCCCCGTGTGCCTCACCTCGAAGCTCTCGTCCTCAAACTTCGCTCCGTAGATGGACTTCCCTCCCGTCCCATCCTGGCTGGTGATATCACCGCCCTGAGAGACAGCAGGAGTTATTAAACAGCCATCAGAAACCAAAGCTAGAAGCAGAAACACTCCAGATATTTCAGGCCGTCAGCATGAACAGCTGTTTGCATCTAGTGTTTGATTTGTTTACTTCATAATGTTCAATACTGACCTGTCTGGCTCCAGAGGTTCAGTAACTCCAAGCAGATCTTTTACTTTCATTGAGATACTACTACACTTTTGTTAATAAACTGCTCATAAAATGTGCCAATGTGTCAGCGAGCCTCTTTGGTGCGTCGTTGAGTAGTTCACACACAAAGATTGCCGAGCGCTGATCACCTGCTGATTTTCCCCCGATCACAGCCCGACCTGTCGATGAGCTCGTTAACTTGCAAATCGGGCTAAAAATCCTGTAGCATGAACTAGGCATTATGTGCTGCCGCAAGGAGGTTTGGAGTGGAGTGGGACTGTTTAGCAGGAGTAGGAGTAGCACTGCCAGAGCCCTACAAAATGACCTCCAGCAGGCGACTGGTGTGCATGTGCCTGACCCAACTGTCAGAAACAGACTTCACGAGGGTGGCAATGAGGGCCAGATGTCCTGCAGTGGGACCTGTGCTCACAGTCCAGCACCGTGCAGCTTGACTGGCATTTGCCAGAGAACACCAGGTCTGTGGAATGCTGGTCTGGAGATGCTGTGGGGAATATTATGCAACATCATCCAGCATGAGCGGTTTGGCAGTGGGTCAGTGATGGTCTGGGGAGGGTTGCACAGACCTGCAGTGGTTCCCTTACTGCTGTTAGGTACTGGGATGAAATCCTCAGACCTTACGCTGGTGCAGTGGCCCTTGGATCCTCCTGGTGCAGGACAACACCCAGCCTCATGTGGCCAGAGTGTGTATGCAGCTTCTGGATGATGAAGGCATTGTAGTGGACAGCACATTCCAGGGCCCAGTTTTAGGCCGGGGCCCCTCTATCGCCACAGCAGTGGACACAGGTTTGCAACACTTTGATTGGATCTTGGTGGACTAACATAAGCAAACTGTAAAACGCCATCAGATAAAGATGCTAGGACAACAGGCAGAAACCTCTTAGAGGACAAGAAGACCTCTGGTACAAAGCCCGGGAAGGAAAGGACTTCTCATTGGTCCACATGCAGTTTCTGCCCTTCACCCGTCTAGAGACTGATTCCTAAGGTTTGGTCTGTGACCAGCATAAATATTCCTTAGGAATCTTTAGATACAGCAGCGGTGGGTGAAACAGAGAAGTCACAGAGATCTATCCAAATCCATTCATAACTGTTTTCAAACCTTAAAACTGATGCACACTACAACACACCCATCTCATGCTTATTCAGAAGAATAAGAATTCTCAACAGCAGCTAAGTGTAGTGCAAAATCGTACACAAACTCCGCTGTTAAAGGACAAATGAATGCATGCATGACAGTTCGATCTTTTTCCTTCATGTTTGGAACATTGCCAAATGTATTCTGGTTGTGGTTTGGTAAGTGAATAATGCATTGGTAGAACTTTAGTGACACTTTTCTAAATGTGTTTGGACTACGGCAGTGAGCTCCACGGGAGGAAAGAAGGGTGGGCCACACCGCCTTGAGAAGAATGGAGAAGCGCCAAATTGCAATCTCCTCCTCATCAGAAAGAGATAAAGGGATCAAGGAGTGTCTGTTGAAAGGGTACAAGTCTCTGGCCTGTGTGGTAGGAGGTAATAACAGATATGATACGTTCTGAGTCCACAGTCCGTGAGGTAAGAGAAACTCTACATTCAGAGTCTTCATCCAGCGAAAAAACAGATGCAGCACGTCCCGAGTCTCCATCTCAGAGAGACAAAAGCGGATTGACCAAGTTCTGAGTCTCTAGCCCAGAGAGGCAGAAGACATGCAGACATTTGGAACAAGGTTAAGCTCCGGCGAGCAAACCTTCACTTCAAGCTACTTTCGTCTGCTTTTTCCAGACTAAGGACCTCCTACACCTACTCCAGGGCCACATCTGCATGTTCCAGATTTTAGGACCCTTTGGTGCTCCAGGAGATCAGCATCCTACAGCACTTCATGTTCAAAGCTGTCGAAACAGATTCCTGCTCCTTTTCCCAATGCATTGTTACCAGCACAACCAGTGGAAGAAGTCACCGCTACCGGACTGCTCACTCGATCGTAGAGAACGTAAATATCACTTATCCAAACCTCCTCCAGAGACCTTGGCATTGTTACATATTATCATTTTCTAATTTACATCAGATGTCAGTTAACAACAAATTATCTTATGGAAAGATAAACTGTTGCTCAAAACAAATAAATGCAAGATTAAGTAACCTTGTCATAGTAACACCCAACTTAATCACTTGCATTTTATGCATCTTATTCCTTTATCATTCATGGTATTTATTTAGTAGACGTGGATTACTCTTGTTTATCTTATGTTAATACAATTATTTCATTACACTTGTGTCTTATTAGTGTTGATAATACAGTAAGACTCTACAAGTTAACATTACATCACCAATCTTTCATTTAAATCAACTGACCAACTCCCTCCAGTTTGCATTAATTGTAAGTGACTGAACAGCCCCTGTTGGGAGTGTTCTCATACTTCCAAGGTGAAAGCCCTCGACTGATGCCTTGAACTAAGACGGCGGCGGGGTAAGTGGTCATCTGACACACCTTAAGTGACACATGATCCAAAATCACAGCGTCATCAGTGACGCGAGTACCCATCACTACAGCACTGATGCCACTGACTGGCCCTCAATCCTGAGCCTGTGGGACATCATTTATCAGAGCATCCCAAGCACTACAGACCATCCAGGAGCTCTCTGATGTCCTGATCCATCCATCATCTCATCAGGATCAAGCCTAGACGTTGTCGGCAGTGCATACAGGCACGTGGAGGCCATACACACTACTGACTTACACTATGAGCTGCTGTGATGAAACTCATGCACTATCGATCAGCCTGTAGTTTCAGATTTTGACTCAGATTTTTGGTTTGATTTTGAATCCAGTCCTCAGTGGGTTGATGATTTTGCTTTCCATTGACCATTGTTATATCATTTTCTTCTCAACGAATAACACGGTGTATACAAGTAAAGATTTTCAACTTATTTCATTATATGTATATTTCATTAATTGAGATTCAATGTGTGAATAAAGTGTTCCGTTCATTTCTTTTGAGCAGTGTATTATGAATAGTATTTTTGTTATTTTCTGTGTGAGTTATTAGTAACTTTGTTGTTTTTGTATTTTTTAGTATTATTTGTTTAGTAGGACTATATCGTTTTTATTGCTGTTAAATTTTTGTTTTAGTTATTTTAGTACTTCAAATTAAATGAAAATGAGAAATGGTGTCCTGGAAACTACCTGGAATAAAATGTTTTTTATATTTTATTCCAGTTCATGTTTATTTCAAGTAATTAAACATTTTTTAATGATTTTGGTTTCAGATAACTATAAAAACTCTGCTACTCAATTGCTTTGGATAAAACTGTCTGTTAAATGAACAGCAGAATAACTTTACATTACATTTACAGGTGTGCATTATTTGTTGACTTTACAGGTAACAATTGCAATAATTATTGTTTTAACATTAAGAATCTTATTTCAATGAACTGATCCAGTAAAAGCGTTGATGTAAACAGATATCCATGCTGTGTTTTTATTAAGGGTGCGATGATAAATCGATTCGATTGTCAGAATGCATCGTGATTCTCTCGAATGGATTCTGAGGTTAGTTTTTAACAGCAGAGGGCGCTCTAGACTAGTTTCTAACAGCACACTCAAATGCTCACGAAGAAGAGCGCTTGTGCGTTCGGCTAAGTCATGTAAGTGGTTAAATGTACTTGCACATCGGCTTTTATGCTTGCCGCAAGATCAATGTAAACACAGCCCACTGTGGACACCCTTGTAATTTGATTAAACCTTTTCGAACTTTATGAATGATTATTTTAGGTTTAAATGCTGCATGTGTGGAACTGGAAGCAAGCAGAGTACAGCTGTTTCTAAAGCACGCAGCGCCATCTGCTGTTAAAAACTAAGCTCAGAATCGATTTATAATCGCACCCCTAGTTTTACATAATGACGGTATCCTCACCTGACACATGAAGTCCGGGATGATCCTGTGGAAGATGGACTCCCGGTAACCGAAGCCCATCTCTCCCGTACACAGAGCCCGGAAGTTCTCCGCCGTTCTGGGCAGGATGTGAGCGAAGAGCTCCATGACGACTCTCCCAGCACGCTCGTCATCTACGGTGATGTCGAAGAACACCACAGGGTTGGAGTCTCGAGACAGCGCCTCGGCGGCAGACGTCTGAGCGGCGTCAGTCTGAGACATGCGGCTCTGGCAGTCTGTGAAGGCTCGTGTGAAGGACTCCGCCAGCTCTGGAGTCTTGAACTTGGCCGCCAGCTGCTCCACTTTCCCGTCTCCCTCTGTGTGGACAAACATACAGACGTGAGGACAGCGGCAGCAGGGTGATGTGTGTGAGGCGAGGAGCGAGGGCTGCACCTGAGTAGTCGGTGGCGGTCCACACCAGAGAGTTAGCCGAGGTGTTCATGGGCTTGAGCTCGATGCTCGGGCTGATGCTGTGGTTGGCGCAGACTCTGAGCACCTGCTCGCGTCTCATCAGCAGGCGGTAGCTCTTCTTCAGCGGGTGGAAGAGGATCTTGAGGTCTCCCACGCCGCGCTCCTTCCACTGGTTGAGCTTGCGGTCCCAGCGGTACAGTTTGGCTCTTTCTCTGAACAGGATCTCCTCGTCCTCCTCACCAGACCTCACCTCCACCTGCAGGATCAGCACACGTCACACTTCTCCAGAGACACGAGGAGCACAGCTACCAGCATCACAGCAAACACTCACCTCAGGCAGAGACACGATCGGCTCAAAGTGGATCTCCTCATTATGAGTCGTCTCTTCATCACTGCCCTCCTCTTCTGCTTCACTGCGAGCCTTTTCTCCTTCATTTTGTGTCGCTGTGCTTCCAAAGACTGTGGCTCCTGCGCCTGACCATGAGAAATCATCATCTGCAGAAATAAACACATGATGAAAACAGCACACTCACAATATCAATGCTGACAGCAGCAGTATGCTATCATACTAGAACTTCATAATACCAATTCATATTAATGCTGCCAACGAACACACACACATGCAAAAATAAACATTATGAACGGCTTGTTTACAGGATGAGACGTGAGCTTGGTCACAAGGTTTAGACAACAGGGCTGAGCGCTAACATAACATCAGAGAAAACAGGAAATACATTATGAAATGCAGAAATGAGTGAGTCTTCATGGAAACTGTCATCATTAATTTTTCATGGAATTTGTGATTTTTTCCCGCCAAAACTGATGCTATGCATAGGTCTTTAAAAACAAAAAAGATCTTATGATCTGCTTTAGGACAGCATTTTCAGAAGCCAAACAAAGATGAAATTAGATTAGAATACAAATAACAGTATGCAGTGCAAACATTATTACCAGAACACACCTATTAGACTTTCACCTCATATGACAACCAGTGTTTTCTACTTAAGCACAGAATAAATAAAGCGCAGAATGTGTGTCACTGTGTTCTGAAGATGTTTGGTGAAAACAAACCACAATGTAATTTATAATTTAGTGTGCCTGGCATTGATGAGAGCAGCAGTGACATCACACCAGCAAGACAACCCTAAAAACCCTTTTCTCTCTCGTGCTCTGGTCCAAATCTTTCATGAAGACATGCCGAATCTATAATAACATTTCCATGTAATGTTTTTTTTTTCAGCCTTACAAGAGAACTCTGTAGAAAGCCCTGTGAATGTGACTGCACGGTTTAATACGAGAATCAAGTAAAAGACACAGAAACGGGTAAACACAGACTCACCTCTTTTGCAAAATGCTAATTCACCTGAACCCTTTGCCAGTTCTGCAAATGAAACCTCACCCGCAGATTCAAATCCAAAAGAGAGACCTGCTGGAGGAAAGCAAACACACTCATTCAAACAAGCGCTCCATCATCGTTTGCGGTTTAGTGCGTGACGTGACTAACTCACAGCTCATACGCTTCTGTCCTGTCCTCTCCGTATAGGGCTTACAGACGCTCATGTGTTGAAAAGTAACTGAAATGTCTCCCCTGTTGAGGGTTTCAGTGCCGTTCTGTGCTTTATAACAATACCAATATTCTTTATTTGGTGTGGTTACTTTAACACAACGGTAAGAAGCTTCCCTTCTGTTCGTGTGCTAATCTTTCAGAGGCTCTTCATGCGTAATAGTAACACAACACTGCCCTGTGTGAGACACAAGAGAGCACTCTTACAACCCAAGACAACGTCTTCATGCAGCAAGAGCAAGAGGTCATTACACTACACACAGCCAGATGAGCTTTGCTGCAAAACTAGTCGCTATTTCGTTTTTTAGTTTTAGTTTAGAGCTTTATTAATCCCCTTGGGGCAATTAATTCAGACTTTCGTGGTGCTTCACATATACAACACTTAACACACACATACATATATTTAAAACACACTAAATACATAAAAAGGGGTAAACAAAAAAAAAAATACAAATAATTTTATTCACTAAATAAATCATCTAAATCAACTAGATTCATTACATAAACGTATTGCTTCTGGCACAAAAGTCAATTTATACTACAAATAAAGGAAAAGGACAATATACTTTCAACAAATGAATTATAAAAAGCCCTGAGAATGACTCTCTGTACATTAAAGGAATTTATCTTCCTCAGCACAAACAATCTTTGATGTGACTTTTTAATGATTGCATCTGTGTTTTGATCAAACTTCAGCCTATTATCAATAATCGTTCCTAAATACTTGTATTCCTCCACTACATGAACCTGTGTGTCATTAATGACCACCCTTTGAGGTGCAAGTGTTTTCCTACTAAAATTGATGATCATCTCTTTCGTTTTTGACACATTCAAATCTAATTTCATCCTATTACACCATAAAATAAAATCATCCAAAACCGGACCATATTCCTGATCTGGATATGACAGCAAAGACAGAAGCACAGTGTTGTCTGCATATTTTACCAAATAACTATTATTGTACAAACTCTGACAATCATTTGTATATGAAATGAATAGAGCCGGAGAAAGTACACAGCCTTGCTGTGAACCATGTAGCCTTCAACTGTTTCAATATATCAGATGGATTCAATTTTAAATTATTAGAAGAACTAGTATTATCTTTAAAAAGTGTTAATATTATCTATAAAAAGTGCCATCTCATCAACTACAGCAGAAAAAAATTCATTATACTTATTAGATAGAAGAAAATTAGTATCATAATTCTCCATAGGCATTTGTTGATTTGATACCCATGTACTAACTTCAGCCATACTCTTAATTCCTTTCCAGGCAGCTTTAAGAATACCTTGCATAAACACACCCTCAATCTTATTTTTATAATTACTTTTAGCAATTTTTATTGCCCTTTTAACTTCCCTGTTTATCTGTTTTTTCTCCTCATTAGTTCCTGAGAGAAATTAACATCTTCACATTTGCTCCTCTTATTAGCATGAAAATCTGCTTGCGATTAAAATATAGGGCTGCATGATTTCTTCTTCTCTCAGTTAATTAAAATAGTCACAACATTTGCCCGCTGGTTATTTCTCCTGAAAACATTTTTTGGTTTGACATTGCCATTATCTAGCTTTGGTAAAAAGCCTCTGTAAGCGGTTGCAGGTGCCAGATTTCAAGAGTTTAAATCAGAGCTTTTCTCTTAACCCTCTGCTTTTGTTCATTTGGGAGTCACACTTGTGTTGTTCGCGCTCAAAAGTGACCGGACGCCAGAAATATAACTTTTTTTATTTTAAGTGAAATCAATGGAATACATTTTTGTTCGATATTAGTTTTTCTTTTTTGTTTTGAGAGAATTTCATGGTACTATTTAATATTTATGCAATAATTATGATCAATTTTTCCCACTGAAAACATATTTTTCTATTACTTTTCAATTTCTATTACTTTACAACTTGTTAAAATAGAGACAATGCCTTTAAAATCCCATTTTTGAAGGCAGATTAGTTCCATCTGGTGAGAGTAAAGAAGAAAAACATCTGAAATCCCGTGGTTCAGCCACTAGATTCCTATAGAGCTCTATATAAAAGGCTTATACATTCTCTAGTTGTTTTTAGACATAAATACTTTTTTTTGTGGATTTGGATTTATATTTAGACATTCTCAAAGAGAATGCTTTTTGTAAAGGTTTAGATTTTTTTGTTTGAAATTGTAGTTTTTGTATTAATTTTACTACTGTACCTCCAAAGAGAAAGGAAAACTTGAAATCGCATCATATGACCCCTTTAAGAGTGTCACCCCTTCCTTGGTGTCTGTGTTTTTACTCCATTATGGCTAAATTACTGATTTTATTTCAGGTATTTGTAAAAACATGCTTTGTGTTACAGTCACACTAGTTCATATGTGTGTGTCTGTGGGGGGGTTTGGAGTGTGTCTGTTTTGCACTCTTGATATTTTAGAGCGTCACCCCTTCATTGCTGTGCACTCTTCTTCTGCATCGTGAATGATTTGAGGATTGTACACACAAAAAGATTCTCTGTATTTTCGTACTTTTGCACATTTCCCCATTCATTTCCAATGGCGCTCATTTTTGACTGCGAACAACACAAGTGTGACTTTTGTTTTTACGACCATTTAGCTTTTTCCAATCAAGTCCAAGATTTTTTTAAGGTCACAGTGACTGCGATAAAAGTCAGTGAGTTTTGTACCATTCAGATGAAGTAGCGATTTTTAAAATTTCAAAACTTTTTTTTCTGGTCTAAAATGACCGAACAACACCAGAGGGTTAAATCAATACATCTTCTGCACAGTGGTTTATTTAATCTTCCCAACCTGGCAACCACTCGCATGTCTACATTACAGAAAAGCTGCTGAAAACACCGGCAACCAGCGAGTTGGACTTCAGCTCTCTTTGAGAGTTTCTGCTCAGCCGGTGTTTTCTTTCACCAAGCTGTTTGTGCTGTTTACTGCTACTACACCTGCCTTCATGAAGTGTAGTACATCCAGACATGGATCTCGTAGCACAGAGGATGCAGAAGTGCATTGTGAAGGTTTGACTGGCACTCACCTGTAGCTGTGCTGTCGCTCTCACTGCTTCTCTTGGTGGAGAGGTCGATGGGACGGCTGCCGTCAGTCTGACGCTCTTCTGCTCCGCCGCTGCTCGTGTCCACAGCTGCTGCATCATGGGAAGGCTTGGGTGCTGTGCTCACGGCGATGTGAAGATCAGAAACACTCGTCACCTGTGTCTGCTGCTGCAGCTTCTGGAGCTTAGTGCTGAAGTCGTCTGGGTTCTCTGCCTCCGGCTCAGAGTCGCTGCTGACGCTGCACAGGATGGTGGGAGACAGCAGGAGGCGTCTGGCTCGCTGCTCCTCGTCTGCAGTTGGCCGCTTCTCCCACACCAGACTGACCTCCGAGTCTGCAGACACAAGCATCTCCATCACTACACCTCACACCACGACGCACATCCACCAACTCCTACGCCGGACCTCACCGCTGAGCCCTGATGACTCCACTAGTCCCAGCAATGCATTTCACAAGACCAGCCTACCGTGATCAGACGCTCCATCGGCTCCATCCGCACACAGCTTCCCCTTCAGACTCCTCACTGCGCTCTCAAAATCCTCATCTGAAAACACACCGAGTGCATCTGATGTTAATCATTTCTCGCAGAGACCGAGACCGCTCAAGTCAGAACATGTGAATACCAGGGCTTGCAAAAAATCCACTAGTCTGACGTCACTAGCCCGGCCCTGCCCCCCCGACGGGCTTTCTTCAATAGTGAAGTCAAATCCCTTCCTTGATTTGCATTGTGCACTCGCTTGTTCATAGTTGATCACTCGCACGTGTTTCCAATGTAAACATTCAAGTGTTTTAAAGCATTCAAGCACATGAAGAGGCGAAAGAGTTCAACTCCGTATTCCGCAGAATTAATTCCTCTTTCGCATCTCCTCACTCTTGAACGGACAAATAAACAAAAATGATCTCAAAACACCCGTCTCATTCAGCATTCTGGTAAACGCAGTCGGTTATTCCTTACGTGAACAGAGTGAAGAAAGAAATCAGATGTGTATCGTTACATTGGATCCGTGCATCACATTTCTGTACCTCAATACTACTGTTAGATATTATTTTATTTGTAACTTTATTATACTGCACCATGTTGTATTTACTTCACTATACTGTATATATTTACACTTGTAATTTGTTTATTTGTTCTTATTTTATTACTGAGTTCACTTGTCTTTAAAAATGTTTGAACTTTATTAGTTATGCTACTAGTTTTTTCTGTAGTTTCGAAGATGTGTTCTTCAAATAATGTTTTTAATAATATAAATATATATGATCTGATCTTTCAACCCGTAATACGATCCGAACCGTGAGTTGTGATCCGTTGCACACCTACTCTCCTGACTTATTTGAAGAAAAAGTACAATCACTGAGGTTTTTGATCATGCTGATTTGCCGATGTTCAGTCGATGTGTCTTTATTCAGGCTACCAAAATCTGAAGAAAGCCAGTCAGAAGGGGCCCTGAACACTGTTAAAGCTTTAGAAGAAGCAGCTCTGATAAACTAATCTGGATTTGGTCATTTGTTGTACCGTCACAGGTGACAGAAACCAGATGTAAACAGAGTGTAGAGCTCACCATCGCGGTCATCGTCGCTGACGTATCCTGGACGGTTTTTATAACAGAAGAAGGTATGAGGAAGCATCAGTCTGGCTGCCAGCTCTGCTTGCTCTCTCGTGGGCTTCAGCACAAATACCATCTCAACATCATCATCATCATCATCACACTCGTCCGGAGCGCTCTTCTGCTCTGACGGAGAGGAAACTGAGCAACACACAAACAGAAACTAGATTAACTAATGCAATAACAACAACTGCTAAATGGATAGTTCATCCCAACATGAAAACTGCTGTCACTGACTCACTCTCATGCGATTCTAAAGCTGTACGTCTGACAAAACACAGGATTTTCAGTCACTGGAGTCTCAACAACACTGGTGCCATTGACTTTATACTGTGCTGGAAACATGATCTCTGATTCTGTGTTCCGCAGAAGGAAGTCATACAGGTTTGGAAGGACGAGACTGAGTTTTCATGTTTGGATGAACTATCTCTTGAAGCGCTCACCTCGTTTGAGTAGAGTTTTCAGAAGCAATCAGAAACCAACAAGTGTCAAAGCATGTGGCAGACAGACAAAAGTACACACTTCACACTGAACGTTAAATCAGTAACTCTACATGACACACACATGCAAACACTCAGACTGTGATGAAGCATCTGCAGCGGTCATTCACCACCAGTGGCGCAGTTCAGCTTAATGCTTTATTTTTGACCCGTCACGAAAGTTTATCATATGCATGTTTTTAAGTTTTGCCAATTTAAGCATTCAAAAGATTTTAAACCGTTGCCAAAAATTTTTTTTGTAAAAATCGCGAGCTAAATTTGGCACTCGAGCGCTGTTTTCTGTGTGCGCACTCTGACAGCGCACCATCACAGAACTGAGTTCACTTTTCGTCTTATCGCACTCGAACGACCAAATACACACAACATTACGTCAAAATGCCCGTTTTGGCAAGTGTCCTCATGAGCACAGTCTTAACTAAGTTAAAAAAAAAAGTTTTAAATGAATGTAAACTGAGAAAATCTGATGTGTGTGTGTGTCAGATTCCTACATTCGGTCTGAAAGTGAGAGCAGCTTGCTGTCTGTGTCATTAATATTAATTAAAGAACAAAAGAAAAATCACTCTGCTCTTGACTGAATAGCTTAATCTTTAATAAGGAATAATTTATAAATGTGTAAAACCTCGTGATAAATCCTGCTCAGCATTAAGCTAAATTAACTGTCTCATGCAGGCGCAACACGCAGAGTAGGTTTTGTGTGAAAACATGAATGAAGGCAGACTGCTGAGGGAAATTATATGAAAGACTGTCTTCAGAAGAGCTTCCATGGCATTTTCTTTTTGTTTACAGCGGTTACCGGGGAAACCGCTCTATTTCTGCTGCTCCATCAGCGCCACCTGCTGTCAGACAGTGGAGGTACATTCTCATTCAGCCCGTCTGCCTGTTTGTTCAGACCAATGTAAAATTCGGATCGAATTTTTGTTGTAAATCTTAACTGGCAGATGGAAAACAAGCTAATATGTATTCTAAAAATCTCAACACTTTGAATAATAAGGTAGCCTATGTAGAATTTGCGTACAATAAGCAGAGATCATGTGATGCGTGCTGGGATTCACTGGGATCTCTCCTTTTACGGTCTTCCCCGTTATTCCAAAGCAACGACACAAGAATGTGGTTAAAAATAAAAACAAAACAAAAAAGCCATCTCCTCACTTATAATGTGGAAACGTGAGGGTTAGTAAATCATTCCAGATCAGTATTCAGTATACGAGCACATCAGTGTGCGCCTCTCATCAGCACAAGGCTTTATTTGCTCAACTATTAGATGCACTGCTGCAAGAAACATGCCTAAAAACACTAAGAAATTAGGGATATTCATATCGAATTGTATTATGTTATTAATGTAGACATGTATTAATTGTATTAAGGAAGTAATGGAATATAATTATAGTATTTATAGTATAGAAACCGTATTTAAGTATGCACTGGTTAAGTGACACAGCAGAACAACTGCAGAAGCACACACACTTATGTAAGATAATAACTTACTACTACTGCATAATTATCAAAAGAAGGCAATTTCACTTTTTTCGTGTGTTCTTTACCTAACAGTCTACACATGGACAAGTTAAATTCCCCTAACTCTCACCGATGTATTAGCAGTAAACAGCACAAGTGTGCTCGTGAAGAACAGAGGAACTATTCTTTGAGCAGACCATGAACGGAGGCTTGCTACCAACGCAAGATAACGTCAATGTCACATTAAAAACAACGCTTTCAGGATTAAAAAAAAAACAGTAGGGCTAATATTGCAAAGATTATTTTTCATTGAGAGAAGCAGAAATCTTGATCACGATCAGTCATGCAGTCCTAGAAGATGCATTGATCACTTCATGCTTTCCCCGGGAATCAAACCCATGATCTACTGTTTGAGCTCACGGAAACCCAACAAAACACGTGTGAGATATTCAGTGTTGGGGGGAACGCATTACAAGTAACGCAAGTTACGTAATCAGATTACTTTTTTCAAGTAACTAAGCAAAGTAACGCATTACTTTTTAATTTACAAGAAAATATCTGAGTTACTTTTTTCCTCAACAATGTTGGGAAGAATTTCCCAGATATTTGATCATCATTGTAGAAAGCATGCTGCGACTCAGCAACACTCAAAACCTAATGATTTCTTCATCCAACAATAGTTTACTACACTGAGGTATTAAGCTGCATAAATCTCAATAACTGCAAAAACGGAGGCGTCCTAAACCTTTTCTGACAGACTTGTACATAAATACAAGTGAAGATTTAAAAGCAGCCATCTGTCAGTCAGGCCGTCCTAAGGCACCAAATAAAGCCTTTACAATGGAGTTAAAGATGGGGGGGGATAATCATTTATGTCTATTTTCAGTTGCTCCTGAAATTACCATGACTGACAGTGCTAATCTCAACGTTACTTTACATTAATAGCACGTCATGTACTGATACATATAACAATTTAACTCCGAAATTAGAAGAATTTGAGGTTTACTCACACAATATTAAGTATTTTATTGTAAATTCTATTAATCTACATGATTAAATTGCAACTACTACTTTAAGCAAAACTGACAATTATGATTTGTGAATGTTTATAGAGTCTGATCTCTGTAGTCTCTGTAGAATTCTATAAATCAAAGTTAATATTGGTGAGAGAAATAATGCAACCCTATCATTTAGCTCAAGAAACACTGTGGTTAAGACAGTACAGAGTAACCACATAAAAACGGAACTCTGTACAGGTATCATATTATTAGGTGGTCTGTTGGCAAAAATAGCTCTATTTGTCAAAACACCCATAGAACTGCAGAACAAGCCTGTCGAGTTTCCATCTGTTCTAATCCAAAAGTATTTAGATTACCTCTCAAAAGAATAAAACCAAGATATGAGAACAATATGTAAGCTTTGGCCATTAGCAATCTATATAAAGCACCTGTCGCAATATTTCAATCACTAAAAACAGCGGGACATTCTAAAACATTTAATGTGATAACACTTAACGTGCCTTTAAAACAGTGATATTAAAAGATGAAATTAGTACACACCTTACTCATGATGCATGCTTTATGCAGGCAAGCAAATGAGCCCGGAATATGAATGCAATGTGCTAAATAGTTAAGTGTCTTCTTTATAATGGTGTTCTATGGGAAAACATTTAATATTAAACTTTGCACATCGCGTTTATATTCTGGGTTCATCTGCTTGCCTGTGCAAAGTATGTATCATCAATAAGGTGTATACTGAATTTGGCCTTTAAAGGGGTCATATGATGCGATTTAAATTTTCCTTTCTCTTTGGAGTGTTACAAGCTCTTGGTGCATAAAGAAGATCTGTAAAGTTGCAAAGACTAAAGTCTCAAATCCAAATAGATATTCTTTATAAAAGTTAAGAGTCAACCACGCCTACCTAAAAAGGCTCGTTCTAACACGCCCCCACATGTCTACCTCACTATGTGGGAAGATTTGCATAACGCCGCCCAAATGTTAACGCAAAGAAAGAAGGCGTAACTTTTATTCTCGCTGTAGTATTGTTGCCGCCGCCGCCATGTCGTGAAGACACTGTGTGCTTCGTTGTGAAAGCGAAACTACTTTGTTTGGTCTTCCAAAAGAGGACGATATCCGCTTCGTCATGCCTAGAGCTGATCTGTGCTGGTCGCTGAGGGAATACAACAGTATGGTGAGGGGCGTAACATTTCCATCTCACGCTTGAGGTATTCGGCCAATCACAACGCACTGGATAGCTGGCCAATCACAGCACACCTCACTTTTTCAGACCAATGAGCTTTGTAAAAATCGACGCGTTTCAGAAAGGCGGGGCATAGAGGAGAAACAATAATGTACAGTATGTGGAAAATAATGTGTTTTTTTAACCTTAAACCGCATAAACACATTTCATTACACCAAATACACAAAATAATGTTCTTTTTAGCAGCATCATATGACCCCTTTAAATGTCACTGTCTTATTACATTACTACTTAATGCAAACCTCCTAAAAATAACTGGCGGTCAGTGGAGGTGGAATCATACATATATATGAACGTGTGTGTGTGTAAAATAGTATATCAGTCTGGCGAGTAAACAAAACAAATTACTAGCCAATGGCTATTATATTGCCAAGGTGTACGTAGAGGGTTGCAAATACTCATAACTACTCATAGCAGAGACAGAAATACTTGAAAGGGCAAATTCCTGCAATGACACCTGCTGGTGTCACATTTAAAGATGGGAAATCACTTCACAAGACACTCACTGCTGAATGCTTGAAGGACTTTGAAGCCACTGGTGCACCTTAATTGTAAACTGTACTGAAGTTTCAAACAAACGGCTAAAGGTTAGCAGATTTCAGACCATGCACACGTCTGAGTAATGTTGGGTTATCACATCATTCAGCCAAGGTCAGGTCTCCCGGCTCATGCCAGTCACTGAGACCTCCATGTGCCACAGTAAACGGTGACCTCAAATACCTTGGGCTTCAAACTGGGTGGCTGATGCGCAGGTCCAAAAAGCCATAGGATTATGTCTGAAAAGCCTAAAATCCAAACCTAAAAAAATAATGTTGTGTGTTAAAGTTTTTTTTAATCATTTTGTTGAAGGACTTTAAACCATCTCAGGATCAGAGTGGATGAATATCAGTCTATATAGGACAGAAATACTTCCTTGGGAAAAACATGCGTCAACAAACGGCACAATCAGAACATGAAGAACATTCTCATTAAAGTAAATATAAACCAACTACAACCTAAAGCAGAGATGCACTTAGCTCCAACCTTGGTTGAACACACCTGAAGCAGCTAATCATAATCTTTAGGACTACTTGAAAACGGCAGGCAGGTGTGTTTGGAGCAGGGTTGGACAGCACTCAAGCTAAACAAACAGGTACAGTTTTATTCATAACTGTGGGTCACAGAACAAAGCTTACTTCTTGTTGGTATGCTGAAAGGAGTCCCAACCGATGACTGGCTGGTCACTGCTGGTCCAGAGGTTTTCAGTCTCGAGGCACTTACTTCCTCATCTTCTGAACTGGGAATCACAACAGGAGATTTTTCTTTTGATGGCGAAGGGCTTCCAAAGATCTTCTGCACAGAGTCTGACCCAAAGACAAACTTAGGAGGAGAAACCACATTCTTGCTGCTTTGAGCGCCAAGCTTTGCCCCTGGTGTCCCATCCGGTTTAGGATTGTCTTCCTCAGAGAGTCCGGTACGTTCTTTTGTGGTTTCCTCAAGTACAGCAACTGCAGCCTGGCCACAAAGCGTCTCTTGAGTGAAGGCAGGTACTCTCGCAGAAAACGGGGCGAGTAGAGTGTCTTTTTCCTGTGCAGTCCTCGCCTCTTCGAAGATTTCTTTGAAAGCATCTGCAGTTTCCTGCAGTTTAAATCGAACCGCCAGCTGTTCCACCGTGCCCTGCTCTTCAGCAAAATCAAAGGCACTCCAGATCCACGCTTTCTCGGCTCCTTTCATGGGCTCGAGCTTCATATTGGAAGCAATCCAATGGTTTGCACACAGTTTGAGGACCTGGTCCCGTCTCATCACGAGTCTGACACGCTTTGTTTCGAAGTGTTGTAGTATTTTAAGGTCTCCTATACCTCGTTCCTTCCACTGACTGAGATCTTTATCATAGCGGTATAATTTGGCCCGGTGACTGAAAAGGACTTGCTCGTTCTCCTCTCCTGTTGAGACTTCAACAAGATCAGGCAGTGGCACAACAGGCTCGAAGTACTGACCATCTCGCTCTTCCTCCTGCGACGCCTCTTGCTCATCATCTGTGCCAACAGAAGCCTGGCTCTGGTTTAGCTTAGATGGAGACTTAGAGGGACTGAGAATAGGCTGAAAACTGAAACTGAAGCCTGTGGACGATTCGCCAAAGCAGAATAAATTTTTAGCTACTGGATCTGGCTGCAAAGGAGTACTGCACACAGAGGAGCTGGCACAGTCCTCATGCGTTTCCTCTCGCAAATCATAATTATCCCATTCTAAAGTGGGTATGGAGCTTTCAGAGTCGAGCTTGACTACAACTGCAGAGGCATTATGACTCGTATCGGCACTTTCGTCATCCTTGTTTTGGCAAGTCAAGAATGATTTGAGGTCCTTAAGCCCAGATTTCATTTCTTCAGCTTTCTGTATAAGCTGGGCCGTTCTGCCAGTGTTCACGAGCTTGTGAGGCGTCTGCAAAGGAATGTCCAAAAGCAGTCGCTGACACTCCTCGAATTTAAACTTGAACTCTTCTGCAAGCTCTGGCGTTTTGAATTTTGCAGCAAGTTGTTCTAATTTGGCATCTCCATCTGAGAAGTCACTGGCTATCCACATCCAGGCTCGATCCGAGCCAGAGAGGGGCTTTAAGTTCATTGTGGTTGTGATCCAATGATTAGCACACACTTTAAACACCTGCTCTCTCCTCATAAGAACTCGAAGTCTCCCGTTCTGATTATTCTTGAGCAGTTTAAGGTTGCCGACTCCTCTCTCTTTCCATTGGTTTGTTTCCGTATCAAATCTGAAGAGTTTGACACGGTGTGAATACAAGACTTTCTCATCTTCTTCCCCTGTAACAAGGTCGACCTTCTCCGGCATCTGAACAACGGGCTCAAACTGAATATCGTCATTCTCCTCGGTTTTGTACATTTCATCATCTTGATCGACAGAGGTGTCGGCCTTGGAGCTGGAATGAACTCCTGTAAAGAGCTGCTCGCCAGCCCCTGCAAAGCCTTTGAAAGCGGGATCATTCTGGCCAAACTGAAAACTGCCTTGTGACTTTGCCAAGTCAGTGAAACTAAAGGTGTCAGGCTTTCCAGTAAAGAGGGGATTATTATCGTGACTATCAGCATCTACAGACTGTTCTGAGGAACTTGGGGCTGCCTCTTTCTCTTTGTGAAGCTCAGCAATATTTTTGAGGAGGTCAGACGCAGATCCAGTTTGGGACTGTTCATCTGATGGTTTTGCCTCAGATTCTGCAATGCCAAACTTAAATCCGCCAACAGGCGCCGACATGGAAAAGGGAAAACTTGAACTGCCTGATGACTTTTCAGCCTCAGTTGTGGAGGACTCAAACTTGAAGCCTTCTGAGGATGCTTTATCCTGACTTGTGCCGAACTGAAAGGAAGCAGTGCCTGGATTGAAGTTGGCTTTAAATCCTGTCGCAGCAGGTTGGCTGCTAGAACTACCAAAACTGAAGGAAAAAGAGGAACTTGATGGTGCAGCAGAGGTCTTGTTTTTCATATTTGGGTTTGCTGTCTGACATGAAACACAATGGCTGGACGAACCTTCGTTTCTTACCAGGCAAGTGTCACAGTCCCACTGTCCATCTTTTTTACCAAACATGGCAGCTAGCCCACCTTGTGATGTTGCTTTACTTTTTTCAGTGCTGTAGGGGGCTTTGCAAGAAACGCATTCAGCTGCTGAGGCATCATTCCTCACTAGGCAGGAGTCACAGTCCCACTGACCCTCTTTCTTGGCAAACTGAGCACCAAATCCAGTGCCAGATGGGACTGCTGGAGCTGCTGACGCTTTCTCTTGTTGTGGTGCATCAGACTGAATTGTTTTCTTCTCAGCCTGAGCTACAAAGTCAGCAGATGTGACGGCAGCATCCTTCGATCCATTGGCAAACTGAGCACCAAATCCAGTGCCAAATGGGACTGCTGGAGCTGCTGACGCTTTCTCTTGTTGTGGTGCATCAGACTGAATTGTTTTCTTCTCAGCCTGAGCTCCAAAGTCAGCAGATGTGGCGGCAGCATCCTTCGATCCAAACTTAAAAGAAACTGGTACTTGAGATCCAAATGTGAAGCCCTTTGAGCTGACATCAGTGCTGGTGACGCTTTTAGCGGAATCTCCAGAAAGTCCAAAAGAAAACAATTTGGCAGGAGGAGCCGCAGGGGCAGAGCCTTTGGGTTCCTCTACAGGTTTGACCTGTGCTGTAGAAGGAGCTGCACTGCTGCAGGCCACACATACCGCAGACGTGGGAGCGTTTCTTACACAGCACACGTCACAGTCCCATTCACCCACCTTCTTGGAAAACAGTGTTTTGAGATCCACTTCTTTGGATGAAACCTGAGGCTGTGGAGTTTCGCATTTCATTTCAGTCTGTTGGCCTTGTGGGGATTCCGAAAGGAATTTTTGAGCCTCCTCAAATTTAACTTTAAACAGTGCCGCCTCGTCTGCTGTTTTAAAACGAATGGCCAACTGCTCAGTCTTCGGCATTTCATCTGCATAGTCCATAGCGTACCACACCCAGGATTTGTCAGATCCAGCATTTGGTTTGAGGGCCATGTCGGCAGTGATATAGTGATTGACGCAGATTTTCAGAACCTGCTCCCTCCTCATCAACAGACGAACTTTCCCGGAGGTTTTGTGCTTCAGGATTTTGATACTGCCAATGCCCCTCTCTTTCCATTCTTTAGACTCCGAATCAAATCGGAAGAGTTTTGCTCTCTTGCAGAACATCTCCTCTTCCTCCTCCTCACCAGTTTTCACGTCGACCTTATCAGGTAGAGGCACAATGGGCTCAAAATGAGGCCCATCCTCTTCCTCTTCCACATGGGTGCTATCATTGTCACTCGCCCCACTCTTCTCTTCCCGAGCCTCTGAATTCCCTAATGTTGGCTTGGTTCCACTTGTAAAACTACATCTTTGGTCAGCATTGCCAAAAATACTCATCTTGCTCTGAGCACCATCAGTGAATGAAAATCCTGCTGCACTTTTACTTCCAAAGGTAAAGACTCCGCTCTGGCTAGGCAGCTGGTCTTGGGTCTGATGTTTTGTTTCTGACGGCACCTCCACTTTGGGAGGAATATCTGATGTCAGAAGTCCCAAGAGGCTTTCACTATTTTTCCCCTGAGCAGAGGAGAAGGTGAAATCGCCATCATTGGACTTGAAATTGGATTTGAACTTGAACGCAGTTGATGCTGTTGTTGTTAGGCCGGCAGCTACTGCTCCAAAGTTGGGAACCTTAGCAGGTTCACCTGTGAACTGCGGCCCAAAACTCATCTTGGGGTCGACAGCCTTGCTTTCAGTGCTCCTGGATGGCTGTGTGGATGTAACAGCACATGGCTTAGTGAAATATCCAGGCTCTGGCAATGTTGGATTGACTGTGGGCTGAGGAACATTATGACCGTAATACTCCTCACTGTATGGGGAGAGTAAGGATGTAGCTGGTGACTCAAAGTGGATGGGAGGACCGAAGACCTGCTCTTGAGGATACATGCATGCGGGTGTTGACTGGAGAGGTGGGGTGTGTGTTGATTGTTGGTAGGAATACATATGCTGCTGAGGAGGAAGACGATTCATCCCATATACTGGGCCCTGCAGAGGCAAACAAACAATACTCTAATATAGATTCTCGGCCTCTTTACTGTAAGGTAGAATATAATGTGTTTACATGAAAATCCCTCCAGTACCTTTGTTGGTGTGACATTCGCAGCGGTGTGCAGAAGATACTGTGAATTATATGCTGGAGACTGGTTATAGTACACAGAGGGACCTGTAGTAGCAACTGAGACAAAAAGGAACGGTTTTAAGCAGGTCTCAATTATTGTATATACAAGTGGTTCTCAGGGGTCCCCCCCAAAAAAAACAAAAGTGATAGTGATTAAAAATTACAAGATTTTTACTCTGGGCAAATCCATATGATTCGAGTTGCTTTGTGAAAAACAGATTGTAAAGTCACTCACACAAAATCTTGTCCTTCCCCATTTGAATCTGGTGTGGATGCAAGAGCATTAGTCTGTTTGCATAAGCAAAGCACATACATAGAGGAAAGAACCTGCACAAGCCTCATTGTTTCTCACGTCTACTGTTGCGAGATCGTCTGTATATTTGAATGTTGAAAGTGAACAA